TCGTTAATATAAATATATCAAATAAATATAATAATATTAACGAATAAATTAATATAAATTGGATATAACAAATATTTCGGACATTCACCAAAGCGACTATGTGATTGTTGACATTCACCGGTGAGAGTCAGAAATAAGGGTATTTAGTAAATATTTCGGACATACACCAAGCGACTTTGTGAATGTTGGAATTCACCGGTGAATGTCGACATTCTCCAGATTTCGGTGTTTCACCGTAACATATATATTTACGGCGCGAGTTGTGAAGGTTGAAATAAAGAAAAGTACTGAAATGTACCGCATTGATTTATTAGTTTTGCTACAAACTGAATTTGTAACAAAATCCTCACTCACAGTCAAATTTGGCGTTCTTTGAAGAAGAAAATGAAAGAAAGAAGATGATTTCTAGAGCGAACTGTCTTTTAAACTTTCGCAATTTCGGATTTTTTATTTATTTATAATTTTTTTTTTAAATTCTCAAATGAGAATAGAAAAAACTCCAGCATTTCTTACCCTTCCAATGTGGGGGGAAAGGCGTCATTTGAATATAATTCTGGAGGAAAAAAATTTTCACAAATTTCTGCAGAACAGTAAAAGCAAATTTTTTTACTTTATTATTATTTATTTTCCATTATTCTCAAATGAGAATAGAAAAATCACGATAATTTCTTTCTCATCCAATGTGCGAGAAAGGCGTCATTTGAATAAAATTCTGGAGAAAAAAATCTTTCGTAAATTTCTGCAGAAATGAAAATCAAATTATTTTAAACTACAGTACAGAACCCGTTATCCGGAAATCAGAAAACCGGAAAACTAAAAAACCGGAACGAAATTTGATAAATTTTCCCGCCATTTTTTTAAAAAAAAAATGTTTTTTTCCTCATAAGATATTAGGATTTTTCTTTCTTTTTTGAAAGATGTTTACCTTACCATCATTTCGAAATAATCATTAGTGTATTACTTCATCGTTTTTTCTTCTTTTTAAGATTATTTCCAAACATTTTTTTTAGTTGGGATTAACAATAAAAAAAAAACGGCTTTTTGTAAAGATTCAGAAAACCGGAAAAATCAGTTATCCGGAATAGCGATGGTCCCGATCGTTCCGGTTAATCGGTTCCCTACTATATAATTCTTTATTTTTCATTACTCTTAAATGAGAATAAAAAGTTCACGAGCATTTCTTTCTACTTCAAAGAGCAAGAAAGGCATTTTTTGAATATAATTCTAGAGAAAAAAAAAATCGAAATTTTTTTATTTCCTTATTTTTTATTTTTCTCTATTCTCAAATGAGAATAGAAAAATCACGAGGATTTCTTTCCTCTCCAATGAGCGAGAAAGGCATGTTTGGAATTTAATTCAAGAACTAAAAATTTTTCGAAAATTTCAGCAGAAAAGAAAATCCAAAATTTTTTACTTTTTAAAGAAAAAATCTTTATGCAAGAGCTTAGTAACATTCTGAGACAATGTCGCTACGCGGCGATTCTGACTCGGAGGATATAGGAACTATTGAGCGCTCATCTAAATCAGTATTCAAAGTGTTCAACATGGTAGGAGTTTCAACGAAAATTTGTTTCATTTTAGGATCATTAATAATTATATTCAAAGGGGATATATATGATTTAGTATTTTCTGTATTTACATTGCATTCATTCATATTCTCTGTATCCACATCTGTCACCACACTGTCACTGCCTGTACTCACAGTTTCTGTGCCCACGCTGTCACTGTCTGTACTCTCAGTTTCTGTCCCCATACTGTCACTGTCTGTACTCTCAGTTTCTGTCCCACTTTCAACAGCTTCAGTGTCAGAAAGATGTTGCTCCTCGTCAGTTTCATCTATTGAGGAAAGTAGAATCGAAAAAACTTTAAATTTTGATTTTTTCCTTTTATCAAAAATGTTTTTGAAAAAGAAAAAAAATTCTTGTAGTTTCAGTTATTACCAATCAAGTTTTATGGTATAGTGAAGTTCACTTATTATAGTTTTAAGTTTTCAATAGCTAACAAAAATTAAATAAAAAATTTTCCTATATTTTACAAATTTTATGATTGTCGATCGAGATGAGCTATAAGTGACGTAGAGAGTACTGTTTTACGCCATCTGCAGCCCATTTCGATCGCCAATGATAGAATCAATTCTCTTTAAAATGCTCTTGAATAATAATAATAATAATAATTTTTTAAAAAAAACTGAGAAAGTTCTATTTTTCATTTCATAGATACAGCATTAGTTTTGTACCTCCTAGAATGCTTAGTTTTATTCTTCTTTAAAAAACGTCCTATGAATCTGTTTTACTTTCTTAAAAGAAAAGTTAATTCTACATATTTCACATCTTCCAAAATCCTTTAGGTATCAAATCATAAGATGTCAAAAATGTCATTTTCATGTTAAGTCAAAAACTCAGCACTACTGTTAAATTTGATATTTTAAAATGCTTGAAACATGGTCAAGGAATTACATTATTGCCATGTACTGCACCTATCAATATGGGTAAAATTAGAAACTTTGCAAACTAACACAAGTGAAAAAGTTATTATATTCAATGTTCATTTTTTTAGGTCGATGATAAATATTTAAGAGTTATACTAATTAAAATAGAAAAACCTTTATTCATTGATTAAATTGCTGTTTATGTTATGTACTACTAATAAAGAGTATAATTTATGCTTGTATTTTAAAATTAATATCATGAACAGAACTTTTCAAATCAAATAATTATTTTCGCAAAGTGAGAGAATTAGTTTTAGTGGCTAAAAATACAACTAAAACACATAAATAGCATCAACAAATCTGCAATAATTAGTATGAAAAATACCAAGATTTTATGAATTCTTTAAAAAGGAGGATGGATAAGAAGGTCACAGTGGAAAAGGTAGGACTAAAAAGGCTCTGATTTATCGCCCAGCATTTACATTAGCTTAAAGATTTCAATTGCGCTTTAACTGAGAAAGATTAATTTATATCCATTGACTAAATAGGAAATTTAAAAGGCAAATAAAAATAATTATCGTTGCATTATGCAGACCTCAAAATAATTAATAATTAAATTAAACAGACACATAAGAAAATTCAGCCTTCACATATATTTATATTTTCAAATTGAAAATTACAAAGAATAAAATTTGATATTTCTAAAGCCCCACAAAAATGTGATTTTTCTATTTGGAATTGGATTAGTTTTAATTTGAATTATTGAAATAAAATTGAAAAAATATGAATTGCGATTTCAGCGGATTCCGTCCCAGTTTCAAAGAAAAAAACAAAAAAATGTGGAAGAGTCATTTGTATGAAAACGTCCCGTTAAATCGATTTAGCGAAAAATTCAAAATTTAAAAATTTTAGATCACTGTAAAAATGTAGTTGGATTATAAGTTTTGATTCGCAAACGAATCAATGGGCTTAATATACGCGGAACTCCACAAAAAAGTCACGTGCCTAACTCCTAGTTTCTAGACCTGGAGGGATGATACGAAAAACCCGGAATTCCAGCGCATACTATCGGAACACAATAATTCGATTTCAAATTTTTGTGTTTCTCTGAACTAATCTAATATTTAACAAAATCAACAAATTAGCAATCATTGAAATTAAGCTTGATGAACGATGAAATCTTAATATCCATCAAGTCTAACACTAAAACCAATTTACCATTGTTCTCATTTAAAATATAATCTGAAATAAGGTCAGTTATAATAAAGTAATTTCAATAAATGTAAGAAACTATTCTGATCAGTAAGGTAAAAAATTAATTAAACAAAACATAGGGGGGAAATTTAATGTTGTTCTAAAACATGAAACTTCTACAAGAGAAGAACAGAACTGTCTCTTTTACGTAAAATTTTTCTATTATTATAATTTTTAAAGCTGAACATATGTAGGGGTAAGAATTTAAAAGTGTTTTTAAAGACAAAACATTTTTAAAAATGTAGAGTTTCTTTCAAATAGTATATATACATATATATGTAAAATGATGCAGTCGGACCGAGCAGGAAAACAGACACAGGATTTAAATTAAATCAGAGAAACTTTTATTTGATCATTCTTAGTTGAGTGGGAGCGAAAAAGTGATGTTTACTCCATCAGCAAACAGTCTTTCTGGTAGGGAAAATCTTGCAAAAAATCCTAAAATGTCTCTATTTAGGGAAAAGAGGGAAATCTCAGAAATTA